TCTCTATCCATGCCGAGTCGGTGGCGAGTACCAGTCCTCCAGGTAACTATAGAAGGTGTGTCTGTCCGAGCCATAGTAGACACAGGAGCGGCAGTGTCAATTACGAAGAGGTTCAATGGGGTTCCAGTAAAACCATCTTCAATCACGATGCAGACGGTCGGCGGGCATTCTTTGAAAGTGACGGGCACGCAGCGGTTACGAATCAGGATAGGAGAAACGCTCATCAGCCATGACATGTTCATCGTGGAGGAGACGACCGAAACCATCATCGGAACCGACATCCTGAAACGGCTCGGTGTCACAATTTACCTGAAAAACGATGTGGTGATCGTGGCTAACGAGACGATCGAGATAAACAAGGGGAGAAACGACCGGGTTGGTGCCCTCAAAGCCGTGCCTGATTGTCAGAACCGTGCAATACGCAACGTACTGAGCAGGTATGCCCACTTATTCACAGACGCGGAAGATGAGTACGGATTTTGCAATTGGGTTGAACACCGAATACCGTTGATCCCAGGAGGACAATGCAAGCCAATCTTCAGACGAATTCCACGGAACACCCTGGTGGAGATACAGAAGCAAGTGACCGAGATGGAATCGAAAGGAATCATCAGGCGAACGCACAGCCCGTATTCATCACCCGTGCTATTGACGAAGAAGGCCGACGGAACCTATCGATTTTGCATCGATTTCAGAGAACTAAACAGGGTGACGGTGAAGGATGCATTCCCGATGCCTCAGATGGAAGAAATTTTCTCAAGCCTTCACAGTGCCAAGCAGATATCTCTGATTGATCTCCGCTCGGGATATTGGCAACTGCCGATCGCAGAAGAAGATCGCCACAAGACGGCTTTCAGTGTCAATGGCCAGCAGTATGAGTTTTTGAGAATGCCGTTTGGATTGTGCAACGCCCCGGCTACATTCAGGCGTTTGTTGCTGATGGTCCTCGCGAACCTGCAAGGCGTGGTTGTGTGCGGTGATGACATCATCGTCTTCTCTGAGACGGAACAGGAACATGTGACCAGACTTGGAGCAGTACTGCAGAGGCTAGATGAAGCTGGTCTGAAACTCAGTCGTAAAAAGTCGCAGATTGCCCAAAAGTCAATTGTATGCTTGGGTCACATCGTGGGCAATGGTCAAGTCCATCCACTTCCGGAGAAACGCGAGACGATCAAGTGCTTCGCAAAACCAAAATCCAAGCGTCAGCTCCGTTCGTTCTTGGGAGTGGTGGCATATAATTCAAAGTTTGTGCCCCAGTTCGCAGAGAAGGTCAGCCCGTTGTTAAAACTGCTTCGCAAGGACATGCCCTTCGTGTGGACAGCTGAAGCGGATCAGGCCTTTGACCATCTAAAGGCAGGCATAGCAGAAGCCCCGACATGTCTACGGCTACCGAATCCTGGTGAGAGGTTCACTGTGGCTGTCGACGCAAGCAACGTGGCCATCGGTGCGGTTTTGTCTCAACCGGCTGGGGTGGTGGAGTACGCGAGCAGAGTACTGACGGGGGCGGAACAGAAGTATTCAACAACGGAGAAAGAATGCTTGGCCATCGTGTGGGCGTTAGAGAAGTGGATAAATTACTTACTGGCGAATGAATTCCGGGTCGTCACTGACCACAAACCGCTCTCGTGGTTGATGACGGCGAAAGACCCGCGGGGACGGCTTGCGCGATGGGCCTACCGATTGCAGGAATTCAACTTCATCATTGAGCACTTGGATGGGACGCAGAATGTATTGCCAGATATGTTGTCACGCCCGAGTTTGGACGACATCATGCCCGACAATGCCATACCGGTGCGTGCGTTCGCGATGGGGGAGAGGAACCTGCTGGGAGATCAAAGGACAGATGAATTCGTGAATGTGTTGTGCTCTCACTTACGGGCTGGCACCAAACCGGAGGCTACATCGGAGGAGGTGGAGGAACTCCTCAAGATCTGGGACAGGTTGAAGGTCGAAAACGATAACGTGGTGGTGGCGAGAGACGGACGGAAAGTGCCTTTTGTTCCACCAAATCAGCGAGAACGTGTGATGCGCATAACTCATGATGGCGCCCATATGGGATTCGAGCGGGTCTTTGAATTGCTGCGGAGGCGAGTGTTTTGGCCAACCATGAGGAAGGACGTCGCGGCATACCTTCGGGAGTGCCCAAACTGCCAAACGAGTCGGGAGATGGAGTCCCCGAGACCGCCGATGCGATCGATGGAGGTTGGTGAGCCACTTCAGTGTTGGGGACTGGACGTCTTTGGGCCCTTACCAGTGAGTCGAACAGGAAACAGATACATTCTAGTGATGATTGACCACTTCACTCGATGGGTGGAAGCCATACCAATCAAGGACCAAACAGGCGAGACAGTGTCGCAAGTATTCGAATTCAATGTGCCTGCAAGGTATGGGATCCCACAGTGTATCATCACGGACCAAGGGCCCTGCTTCGAGTCAAGAGCGTTTAAGTCAGTGTTGGACAAGTGGGGCATCCAGAGACGGCGAACTTCACCGTACCACCCACAAACCAACGGGATGACCGAGCGGTTCAACCGAACATTGAAGACGTGGATAAACTGCACGAACTTGGCATGGGAAGATGCTTTGCCTCAGGTTCTGATCGCGTATCGGACCAGCATGCAATCAACCACCAAGGTCTCGCCATTCGAATTACTGTTCGGCAGAGAACCACGGATTGCGCTCGATACTTGCCTACCGAACCAGGGTGAGTGGAAACATCCAGCTGAGCATCAAGAGCGACTGCGATGGAATGCTAGAAGCGAAACCAAAGCTCGACAAGCGCAGAATAAGCGAAATTACGACGCCAGGCATGAGGCTCACAAGTGGAGGCCATTCAGGATTGGAGAACGGGTCAAGTTATGGAACAACGATCGGCCGGATCATGACGGGCCGGGCGCAAGCAAGTTCAGAGAACGCTGGAAAGCCCCTACACCATTAACGACCAGAAAGCGGGAAACTTCTTAATCGACTGCGGAGGAATGAAACGTTGGGTGAAAGCTGCTCTCCTGCGACCATGGTACGAGAGGAAGAAAGGTCCTGGAGGAGGGAAGGTGTAGAGGGGCCGCTTCCAAGAATGGCTCTGGGGAGCTCTTCGGAGCGAGCTGAGAGCGGATCGCGAAAGACGGCTAGCGACGAGCCTGGGCCCGGAACTACGGAGCGGGAATATGTGGACAGCGCAATAAATCAGACAAATACGCCGCTAGCGCAGCCCACAGGACCGAGGCCGAGCCGATTGACACAGCCCAGAACAAGCAAGTCAAGAGCTCTCGAACGACTCCTGGCCGATCCAAATCGGGTGCAGAGAAGCGGAGATCGAGGCGAAAACAGGAAGGCGGATCTTCCAAGTCAGAGCTCCCGAGGCGAAAGGACTGGCTTGTCTCTAACACCCGTACCGGTGTTGCGTTGTGGGACGGAAATCTAGTCGATATTCGATGGCGCGCGCGAGACCCTCATGTGACCATTTTCGGTGTGCAATAAACGTCTACCCCCCTGTCTTGTCGTTCTCGCTACAATACGATAGAAATCTGCTGTGCAACCACTTTATAGGTTAGGGTTGAGAGGTTGCGTTAAGGTTAACCGGATTTATTAAACTAAGACCCTAACTATGGAACCCTGTAATTATGCCACTAAACCTTGAAACTCCGTAACCATGCTTCGTCTTCGACGAAACCGTACACTCGGTACACAAAGAAATTATCACCGTCTACGTTGACGCATCCGAATCCGACGGATACGTTAGCTGCGGTAGATATAGCGCCCCACACTGACGTGCATATTCCGCCTGAACGAACGAAAGGAACTCCTCCAACTGACCAATCAAAGATGGCAGATGATCAATGATGTCCCCAAACACGTTCCTACTGTTTAGTGAACAGAAATCTCTTCCACACGAGGAATAATGCTCCTTCCAGCTTCCTATCCATGCTAGCAGAGCTCCTTCAGCCCTATGCCAATTAGGAATCTCGTCGCACAAGAAATTTGAAAAAATTATCTAATAACCACCTCAAATAGGCTAACTCGCAGACTAACACTCACAAAAATATTTAACACATTTAAGTTACATATCAACGCCAACCAATCTCAGCGGTCTAGTAACTAGACATAGAGCCAATACTTATCAACGCAGGTAGCTGAAATGGCACAACGACAGAGGATTTCTGCAATACTAGGGAATGCCAGTTCGAGTGCGCGCAGCAAATGCTGACCGTTACGTGAGGAGAGTTTGAAATATTTATTTGCCAGCTCGGATATGCTCTTTACTGTATTTCGGTCTCGTAGGATATCTTCGATGCGTTGATGTTCTCTATAGTACGTTCGGTTGAAAAAGCACACGTGACGCGTGTGGATCTCGCTGACAGAGTCCTATTACCCTGTTTTGCATGCGTGCTGTGCACGGACGGTAGGTACCCATGAATGACAATAGTAGAAGTTGGAATTCCACAGACTTAACACAATCGCTAGCACGACAGGCATTTGGTGCTGAGCGGACCAATATGTAAAATTATGAGTATGAGGAGAAGTAGTTAAAAATGTTTTTGGTGATGGTGGTATAGACAGGCGGTCGAGTGGTTGCGAGCCATAATACTGAGCTAGAGGAGAAGACATAGGCGTGGTAGAAATAATTTATCAGTGATGAGAGATGGTTGAAAAATACCGAATTGTGAGTGTACTTGCTAGTGTTGAGGGCACAACTGTTAGCGGAAGTCCAAACATCAAGGGTGCTTGCAAGGTTTTGCCAGCCGTCTTGTGGAGCAATAAGCGTAACGTTGAGTTGAGTTTCAAGGAGCACATGTCCCATCATACGGACAATGTCCTCGGAAGTGCAAAAGGGTTCAATATAAGGGAGAAACAGGAAAATTGGATTGAGGGTGCATTTGTAGTATGCAAAAGATCATCCTGTTGAACTGGTGGTGGGAGGTTGGGAGGGAACTTCTTGAGAAACGGAATCTTGATGAAAGAAGGGAAGGAAGTGATATGGGGAAATATTGGAGAAGTAATCTCCAGGCATGTATCGGTATCCATTGGAAACAAGGAGTGGTGTGCGAGTGAGGAAGCCTGGGTGTTGGTCAAAGTCGTACCGTTTAAAGTAGACTTCATTTGCGGATAGCCCTTGTACATCGTCACATGCAAGGAGACCTTGTTCGGAAGTGAATTGCCAGTATGTATTAGCGTTGATTTCACAGTCTTAGTTTAGTAGGGCTGCTTCGGTTACGTTAGTGAGAACAGTGTTGAGTAGACCGGTGTCGTCTTGAGCTATATACATGTAGCCGTGAAACCCTGAGGCGATTTCCGTAGCGGGATATAATGTGATAGGTGGACAGTAGCGTGGTTAAGGGTGCACAGAGAAAATGCTGCTCGTAGAGTTGCAAATGGTTCCGCGTGCTGTTGATCGGATTGAATTAAAAACAAAAATTCGAATGCAGAGATGGGTAGGCAGGTAATGGCATATGTGCTTGAGGAATCCGCCGGTTCGTATTGGTTAATGGTAAGGTATTGCTTACGTGTAATGGTGATGGTAGTGGTATTATGGGAAGATCGCAGGAATCGGATTCGTTTGGCTGTGGATTGTGCTGTATCTCCGGGAGTCTCCTCCTCAAATGTCGAATCGACCGCGATTCGTTTGCCACCAGTTGCCATACCAGAAAGAAAAATGGCAAGCACAAAAGGTGGTCGGTGGTTCGGGCAGTTCCGCACAGCCTACACGTACATTGAATTTGAATTTGTGGCAACACTCATATATAGCGGCGGCGTCGACAGATGTGATGTAGTTTCCGAGACTACGGTTGGTTGAAATCAGTACTGGCACACGTAGTAACGTCACATCAGGTGAATGCTTCACGTGAATGTCAAATGTATTACCACCGAGGAGTGCTTTAAAGTCATTAACCGTTTTTATGGTAATGCGTGGTTCTTTCATGAGCGCGACGGCCTTATCTACCAAGTTTTGAAGAAAAAATCGGGAGTGATCTGCAGACATTTGAACAGTCCCGCAGTGGTAGTTTTGGGATATCAATTTCAAAAGTAGAGATTTGCCAGTTGTAGTGGGTCCTTCGATGCAAAAGGTGTTGAGCTGATCAATCTTCTTATTCATGATTTCGTGTATAGCAGTGCAAAATGCATCCTTATCGATATTGTTCACTCTTAATAAATCGTCAAAGAAAGTAGTGGAACGATCTTCTGGGTGTGTGCACACATTATAATGATTATTCTCCATGATATATTCCTCAAAGGAGATATTCGTTTGCCTATTGAATAATTCCACGTTGTATGCTTCGATGCATTGTTTAGCCGTTCTCTCCCACTGGATTCCGAATTCCACGTATAGGGTTAGGCGCTGTTTTCGTGTGATACGCCGTTTCAGATCCTTAATGTGGGTGCATCGGTGTGTGTCAATTAATTTATTGAGGAGGTCAGTACATTTTGTGCGCTTTGCCTTCTGCTGTTCTATATGTCGAGGATCTCGGTTGAATTGTGCGCAGTCTTTTTGGTCAACCGGTGTTAGTTCAGTATGGGAGGCCAGAGGTTGGAGCTTATTACCGATAAGTTGGACACTGCATCCGGAACGTGCTAAATATGTTGCGAACCTGTACCAGTCAATAATTGGTTGTATTGTAGTTAGGATATCAAACATATTGGATGGAGGTATGGATAAGGCCTGTAGAATGTGTTGTAACGATCGGTTAAGGTGCTGTGGCAGAGATTGAAAAACGACGTGGTAGTGGTCGTCGTGTTTTATTAGTATTGCCTTACTACGATGGTTTGACAAGATAACAGGTTCTGGACCGCGGTAGATGAAGGTCCACAGGTTGTCGGTGGAGTTGATGCGTTGGACTATATCTTGTACAAACGTATTGTCAGATTCAGCTGTTTGTGACGCTTCATGTAATAGCTCATCTGGGATACGTGTTAATTGTGGCGGTACGGTATCAAACATGTCATGTAGTTTCGAAGATGTAATGGCGGATAACGGTTGCATGCTTGTTGAGGGACCTAGGATGTCACCAATCATGAAAAAAGGGCACTTACGTGGTGGTGAAGCGTCAAAATCGACATTGTGTTCAGCTGCGCGTTTCAATACATGTGTAATACGCTGAACATGTTGTTCAACGGCAGATCTTGTTGATTTGGGAACAGGCGTTTCGATGCCCGTGGACTGCATTTCATGGTACCAAGTGTTATAGGGTTGTGGATCTTCCACACGGAGACGCTCACTCATGACCCAGTGTGAGTAGGACGGGATAACATTGGATGTTTCCATCTGATGTTTGTAGGTTTTGAATTTTTCTTGAAACGTAACATTCTTTTCTCCGTGCCAATGATCCAAGTTGGCGTTCACACATCTGATGGCTTCAAACGGAGAGATCGGCTTCTGTATAAACGGCATCGCGGAAGAGGTGGAAAAATAGGTGAAAATGTTTGTAACAGTGCTGCTTATATACTGCCGAAAAGCGAAGGTAAGCAGCAGGAGGCAAAAAAGTTCTGACAATTCCTTCTCTCCTCCTTCCGCTAAGAACCAACCGGACGCCAGCTCCAATGACAACAAATTTTCTGATTGGTCCCTCCTATTCACATCTCTATTTTACACCTTTGTGAAAATTGAGAAGGACCTATGGTCCGTGCACAGCACACATGACCGACAACATAGTTTAGCTTGGAGTTCCACATACCTAACACAATCACAAGCATGACAGACAATTGGTGTGGAGCGGACAAATATGTAAAATCGATAGTCAGAAGAGTGTGAGGAGGAGGAGGAGTAGTTAAAAAAGTTTTCATGATAGTGAGATAGCAGGCGATCGAGTGGTTGCGAGCTATGGAGTAGTGAGATAGACGAGAAGACAGAGGCGTAATAGGAATACTTTATCAGTGATGATAGAAAGTATAAAAATGCAGAGTGGCGTCAGTATATTTGCCAGTGTTGAGGGCACAACAGTTAGCGGAAGTTCAAACATTAAAAGTGCTGGCAATGTCGCGGTTCAGACGCTACGAGGACATATTTCGGTTTGAATTCGGTGGCAACGAGGATGCATGGCGATCATGAACACTGCTTCGTAAGTTGGGGCCCACCGAGCATGACCGTTTGGTAAATTAGAATTCGCCAAAACGCTCACGTGATTTTCTTTCGATAACACGATTCAGTGTCTCACTCAGATCTTTGGCGAACGTTCTTCACTCTTCTGCACATGCTATCACTGTTCAAAACTTGGTAAACACTCCATGGATGACTACATTACTTATGCAAGTATAGTGAACCGAGAGTGTGAACGCTTTAAACTGGTAGCCATGACAGAGACACAGTTCAAGTGTCTGATGCTCATCTGTAGTCTAGAGCCTCCGTCAGAAACGGACATCCACACACGAGTTCTCATCAAGCTGGAGCAAGACCTAGACATCACGCAGCAGAAAATGGCCGAGGATTGGCAATGCCTGCTTAATCTGAAACATCATTCCAATCTGGTGAAACAGCGGCACATCAACATGATAGATGTTAGACCGATCAAATCAAACTAACAGCAGTCCAAAAAGCCGCCTAAAGCATGATGGTATTCTGGCGCATTGTATTACGCATCACAGGGCACTTCTCCACGACATCGGTGTAACAATGTCAGCGGTTTGGTCACAAAGATGGTTGTATGCAAGCCACAGAAGTCGAGTAAAACAGGACAATTCCAACAAACGACATTCGAAGCCAACACAGAGGAAGGCTAGCAGCAGTATTGTTGCTACCATCAGGACAACGCGACACCTCACAGACGCTACCTGACAGTGAGTGTTAATGGGGTATCCCGCAACTCTTCAGTTAGACACTGGATGGAACATCACCATCATTTCACAATGCATTCTGGAAACCATCAGACGTCCTCCCAGTTTTGCCAACACAACAAATTGCCCTCAGTGCATCTGGATACTACTCTCCGATTGGTTGGTGAGTTACAATGTGTGGTAACCTACTATGAGAAAACGTCTGAGTCTATATATTACCTGACTAATCAGCCAGGGCTGAACATGCTTGGTACTGACTGGCTAGATAAGCTTAAACTTGGGAGTATTCCTTTTGATAGCGTGTGCAAACTGGACACTGGGTATCAGTGTCGCACTCAGAACTATCGATGCAAGGCTCCAGCAGACGATTTCACAGCGGTTGTTTCCGTGATACACAGTAGTTTTTAGGACAATATCGAACTCTGCATCAAAATGATGGCTCAATTACAGTTGAGAACAGATGCCAAAACAGATTTTGGTCCAAAACTTCCAGCAACATATTCTGCCATAACCAGTGTTGAGCAAGAGGTTACTCGTCTACAAATAGCAGATGTCATACAACCGGTCGATTACTCTGACTAAGCTGCTCCCATTGTGGTAGTAGCACGTAAGTCTAACGGCTTCATCCGTGAATGATACACG